TCTCGCAGTGTCGCAACGGATCCAACAAAACGTTCACGAATTTCAAGTCCAAGCGTTTTAATTGCGGGTAAAATCTCAACGAATCCAATGTCTGGACAATCAGTTCGGTAGACGTCGTGAAAACACTTACTGACAATCGTTTCAATTGTTTGCAATTCAAACCAATTGTACGCAAACACGAGTTAATCACTAACTCGTGGCCGACATTAAGCTGCAAACCGAACACCAATTCCCGTAATTGTGTTAATCGTGACAATTGTCCGCACATTTGGGTCAAAGCCTCGGTTGTACTGAGACTAACGATCGTTACTTCAAAACTTTTGAGGCACTCATTGTGTGTCACAAATACAGACAATTTGTACAAATCATGGTCTGAAATGTCTTTTAACTCACATTTAGACAAATTCTTAGCCAAGAGATAACCGTTACGGAAGACTCTATCAAATGAGTTGATCCGTAATTCAGACAATCGGTGGCAATGATTGATCACATGTATGTAACTACTGGAGTATATGTGGCCGATTCGGGTGACCAGTGGTACCAATGAACGCATTCGGGCGCAACCTATCCATAAATTGCAGTAAATATCCCGCAAATGCCGGCAATTGTCTCGAAATGTGGTCAACACTTCGGGAATGTGTTCTTCATATATAAGAGTTATTTCTCGACAGTCAATGGTCTCAATGTTTGGACACTTTATGGTAATTGTGGCCAACAATTGAGTGTCACATCTCTTCTCTTTCAGTAGTAAATAAACAAATCGATCGCTAAGATTGATGTCCACAACACTCCCGAAGACAGTCCTCTGGAACTGTTTGGACACACATTCCAATCGAAACCTGTCATCGACTCTCAGATAAGACACTATAAGTGCACACAAATCATCGCCGAAACGATCCAAAGAGTCTTTCGCATAGATTTGCGGCTAAAATGAGATAAAAATAAATAAAATTCAATAAAACTCTAGAAACAGTCAAATGTTAATCAAAAACCTGTTGAATGTCTTCGTCTCTGCCGTCATCTGTGGTCTCGAGTGATGTCTTCAAGTATTTCATTAGTTGTAACATATCTTGGGATCAATTGAAGTGATTGTATGAATAGTTTGATTGAAATGTAAAACAAAAATCAATCAATTTTTAAATCACTTTTCACTCGAATATAGACTTCACTTCTGTTTCTATTATTGAATAATGTCTACAAAAAATGCAATCAAATTGTATGAATAGATATGGAATATGAGTACAGTTTGTATGCATTAGTTGTGGAGTAATATATTTTGAATAAACTTTTGCCGCTTTCTAACAATACAGTCGACTCTCGTTATTATTTCAACACTTATTGCTACAGAAATTCAAGATATAGTGATTAAAATTTCAATTTTAAAGTTTATTGTGAAAAATTTGCTTTTGATTTATCATTAAATAGAATGTTATAACAGAAATAAACAGTAATTTAATTACAATTAAAATGAAATTAAAAAAGATATTGTTATTAATTAATATTTATAACATTTTTACTTTAAATAAAACCACTTATTGTTTACACGAATTACAATTGTCTTGAGTTTAGGACTCGAAGACAACACAGCATTCAAAGCATTGTCCGAGAGATCAATGCCTTGAAGGCAGTCAATGCCAAGTGTTTGCAGCGCCGGTAGTCTTGAGATGTGTGACAAACACTCGGCATTGATTGTGTCCGTTAAGATGATTAGGTATTGAAGTCGTGGCAAATGTTGGTCACAATTGAACAGCAAATTGGTGTCTAATTGTTTTGAACCGATCTGCAAACGTGTTAACCGTCGGTAGTTCTTCAGCGGATCCAATGTCTTCAGATGGGGTGCTTTGGAGGGCAATCCGAGTGACAATCGTTTCAGTTGTTTGCAATTCACGCCAATTGTACGCAAAGAGTGGTTAAACAGTGATGTCTGACCGGTCACTGACGCCAACCCGAGCGTCAGTTCCCGTAATTGTGGTAATCGTGACAATTGTCCGCACATTTCGGTCAAATGGTTGGTATCTTCACATAAGATATGAACAAACTTCAGGCACTGATTCCCGGCCACGAATCGCGCCAACAGTTCGCTGCCATCGCAGCGCTTAATATTAAATGTGTGCAAATTCTTCGCCAATAGCTGTCCGGAAGTGGTGTCGAAGACATCGGACAATGAATTGACTCTTAAATGAGACAATCGGTGGCAATGAGTGAGCGATTGTTTAAATGACAGAAAATCGTCAACACGTGTGACGAGTGGTGACAACTGCTGAACCCATCGGTCGCTGTTTGACGTGAAGTTGCAGTAAATTTCCCGCAATTTCGGGAATTTGTGTCGAATTGTGGGAAACACTTCGAGAATGTATTGATCGGTGTCTCCAACGCCTCGAAAGTCAATCCTTTGAATGTTTGGACACTTTGTTCCCATTGTTTGCATTATTGTAAACATCGGTGTCTTTGAATTGTCGTCGCGTTTAATGGGTTTGATATTAATATTGATGTCCACAACACTCGCAAAGACAGTCCTCTGGATCTGTTTGGACACACATTCTAATCGGAATCGGTCTTCGAGTGAGATAAAGGATAACAACAGTCCAAACATGTCATCACCGAATCGATCCAAAGAGTCTTTCGCATAGATTTGTGGCTAAAATGAGATCAAAATAAATAAAACTCAATAAACAGTCAAATGTTAGTCAAAAACCTGTTGAATGTCTTCGTGTTTGCCGTCATCTGTGGCCACGAGTGGTGTCTTCTTGTGTTTCCTTCGTTTTGCCATTTCTTGCGTTTCTTGGGATCAAATGAATTGATTGATTGAAATGTAAACAAAAATCAATCAATTTTTAAATCACTTTTCACTCGAATATAGACTTCACTTCTGTTTCTATTATTGAAATAATTTCTACAAAAAATGCAAACAAATTGTATGAATAGATATGGAATATGAGTACAGTTTATATGCATTAGTTGTGGAGTAATATATTTTGGTTAAACTTTTGCCGCTTTATAACAATACAGTCGACTCTCGTTATTATTTCAACACTTATTGTTATTTACATTCAATTTATTAACGCTTTTATTATTTGTTTTAATTTCAAACCAATATTTAAATATAATTTGAATAAACTTTTCGTACAATCAGTTCATCACATCTTAAGCTACTGTATGTCACATAACATATCAATAGAGACATCACTCAAAAATATAAACACAATTCAATTAAAACCATATTTATTAAAAAATCAAATTTGTTTTAATTTAGAACTACTTATTGACAAATGATTTGAATTAAAGAGTCAGTGATTATAAGAGTTGTTATTATAATTAAAAACATTTTAGACATATTTAAACAAAATTGAATTGTATTTATAAATAGTTAAACATTTATTGTATTTTACTTTAAATAACACTTCGAGATATTGTTTCCTTTGGTTTCAATGTTCTTGAGTTTAGGACTTCTCGACAACAGATCCTCGAAGTCATGATCGTTAACACCAAAGCCTATATTGCACTCAAAGACCAGCGTTTGCAGCGCCGGTAGTCTTGAGATGTGATCCAAACAAACGTTGTCTATAATGTAATACTTGTCACATATGGCCAGGTATTGAAGTCGTGGCCAACGATTGCCACAATAGGTTATGAATTTGGTGTTCATATTCCAGACATTAAGCGTTAAATGTGTCAATCCGTGGCAGAGTGTCAACGGATCCATAAATTGGCTCTCAATGTCTCTGTAGTCTCCGATCAACAAATTGAGTGTTAAATCCAATCGTTTTAATTGTGAAAAATATAGCAACGAATCCAATGTCAGGACACAAGAGTGGGTAACCGTTCCGAATGACAATCGTTTCAATTGTTTGCAATTCGCGGCAATTGTACGCAAAAACTCGTCCACTGAGTACGGAATGCCTGTCACGTGTAGATTGAGTGACAATTGTCTTAATTGCGGTAATCGTGACAATAGGTCCGTGAATTCAGTTATAAATTCTACGGTAATGGCCATGACTTTAGTTACGGTGAGACTCGCGAGCGACTGATTATTGGCCACAATAGCGGCTAACAGTTGATTATCTTCGACTCTGCCGTAGTATTCAAGCGATAATCTCTTCAACGTGTGGACCGGATTGCGATCCGAGTCGGGAAACATTTGCGGCAAATATTTGGCCACTAATTCAGACAATCGATTACAGTATCGAAAGGTATCGCTCGGAGTATAGGCCACGCGTCCGATACGTGTGACCAGCGATCCTAAGCCGTGAAACCATTCAATCTTATTGTAGATAACATTGCAATAGATTTCACGTAAATGTCGACAATTGTCGCGAAATATGGCCAACACTTCCGGGACTCGACTCTCGTATAAATACATTTCTCGAAAGTCAATGATTTGAATGTTTGTACACTTTATGGCAATTGTGGCCAACATTTGTCTGTCAATTGTCTTCTCATTCAATACTCTATGAATATATCGGTCGATAAAAGTGATGTCCACAACACTCCCGAAGACTGTCCTCCGGAACTGTTTGGACACACATTCGTAACGGAATCGGTCTTCAAATGTGAGATAAGACACTATAAGTGCACACAAATCATCACCAAATCTGTCCAAAGAGTTCTTCGCGTAAATCTTAGGCTAAAATGTGAGACAAAACACAATTAACTCAATAAACATTAATGTGTTTATTAAATACCTGTTGTCTAATGTCTTCATAGCCGCCATCTGTGGTCTCGAGTGATGCCTTCAGATATCTCATCTGTTGTGCCATATCTTGGGATCAATTGAAGTGATTGTATGAATGGTTTGATTGAAATACGAAACAAAAGTCAATCACTTTGTGTCCAAATATTACTTCACTTATGTTTGCATTGAAATAATGTCTACAAAAATTGAACACAATTTGTATGAATAGATATGGAATATGAGTACAGTTTGTATGCATTTGTTATGGAGTAATATATTTTGATCAATCTTTTTGCCACTTTATAACAATACAGTCGACTCTCGTTATTATTTCAACACTTATTGTAATTTTAATTCAATTTAAAGTCATATAATAAGCAAATTAGTAAATAATTTTCGCATTTTAATTATAGTTAATTAATTACATGCAATTAATTTTGAAAATTGTGACCAAAAGTAAAGAAAAATATTTAATTCTGTATTTTTATTGCATTTTTACTTTGAATAAAACTTCTTCTCATTGTTTTCAATGATTACAATTGTCTTGAGTTTAGGACTCGAAGACAACACATCCTCGAAGTCGTTATCCAAGAGATGAATGTCATGACGGCATCGAATGACAAGCATTTGCAGCGCCGGTAGTCTTGAGATGTGAGACAAACACTCGCGAGTCATATGATTAAACCCAATGGACAAGTGTTGAAGTTGTGGCCAATTTATACCACAATTGTCTAGTAATTGATCACTCGTTTGATGTAAAAATATTTCAAAATGTGTTAACCGGTGGCAGTGTTTCAACGGTTCCAACACCTCTTCGTCGATAACATCAGCGGATGTTATTCGCAATCGTTTTAGTCGGCGATAAGAGCCCAACGAATCCAATCTCTGGCCATTGAGTTGACAACGAGTTGAGCGAAAGTGAAGACACAATCGTTTGCAGTTTAAGCCAATTGTACGCAAAGACTCAGACAATGAGTTGTGGCCATCGATTATCTTGAAAGAAAAAGTCAAATCTCGTAATTGTGTTAAACGTGACAATTGTGCCGACATTTCGGTCAACGACTCGTGAGTGAAATAATCAGTCTTCGCGACAACACATTTGATGGACGGTGTCTTCGCTACAAATGCCGGCAACGGTTCCCTATTATCACCAATCGATCGCCAATTAAATGATAATGAGTGCAAATATTGCGCCAATAGTTGTCCGGCAGTGCTGTCGATATAGCCATACAACTCATAGATAGTTAAATGAGACAATCGGTGGCAACGACTGAGTGACTGTCCATCGTTTGGTAACTCCACTGAAATTCTTGTGATCAGTGGTCCAAATGTGCGGAACAAATGTTCGTTTCCTTTCTGTGAACACTTTCTGCAGTAAATTTGCCTCAAATGCTGACAATTGTCTCGAAATGTCGACAAAATTTTGTCAATCATTTCATTGCAATCATAGCATATGTCCAGACAGTCAATGGTCTGAATGTTTGGACACTTTCTCGCAATTGTGGCCAACAATTGAATACCACTTCTCTTCTCTTACTGTAATCTATGAATGAATCCATCGCTAAGAGTGAAGTCCACAACACTCTCGAAGACAGTCCTCTGGAATTGTTTGGACACACATTCGTAACGAAATCGGTCTTCGAGTGAGAGATAAGACAATAATAGTTGACACAAATCATCACCGAATCTGTCCATTGAGTCCTTTGCATAAATCGTTGGCTAAAATGTTGGACAAAAAACTCAATAAACAATAAATTGTTTTACAAATACCTGTTGAATGTCTTTGTCTTCATTGTTGTCATCTGTGGTGACGAGTGATGCCATCGTTGGTGTAATCTGTTGTCTATCAGTTGTGGATCTCTTCATACGCCCCAACAGTTGTCCCATAATTTAAATAATTTTTTAATTAATTAATTATAAATATGTAAAATATAATTAATACAAAATACAGTATAAATAATACGAATGCGTATTAAATAAGTATTTTTGTTATCAAAAGTTTCAAATATCACAAAAATGTCATTTAAAAGTTATTTAAAACATTTAATCATAACTACTAAACAGTTAAATGATTTAAAACTTTTATATTTGATATCATTTGTATTACAAGTGACTATTAATTATAAAATTTGTTATTATATTCTAAAAAGGGCTAAAACTTTGAAACATAAAAAGAGATTAATGTTTCAACAAATTATAACTTTATGAACAAAATGTGCGAACATTTAAACAATTGTGATTTTTGTAAAACATTAAATATTTATGTGATGTAACATTTACATTATGTGATTTCACTTTACCTTAAATTATAATAAGTTATTATAATTATTAATTATTATTAATAACCTATGGTTTTAATAGTTGTAAATTACAGTGTTATGAAATATCCAATAGTTTTAAATACATTATTATAATCATTGATATGATCTACAATAGAGAACAAAAAAGTATATTTTCACAATTATAACAATTAATTAGTGTATTAAATAAAACTATTTTATTTCTCAGACCTCATATCCCCTAAAAGTGTTTATAATAAATAATTTCCAACAATAAAAACCCACTCTTTTTGTACCAATTCTTTCAATTAGTGTTAATAACTATAAAATAAAGTTATATTAATAATTGAAAATATGTTAATTTATAAATAAAACACAAACCTTAAATTTGACCGACAAAACAATTTTATTATTTTTGTCACAATATATTGAATTCAATAAATGGTATGAATTATTTGCTTCGATATAAATGAGTGAAGAAATACGGATTATAAACATCAGGATTAGTGTAAAGCATAGGAAAAACATTGCAAAACCAATTTTAATCAATATAATGGTGTGACTGAAGAACAATACATAAACTGTTGCGGATATTATGGCACTCAATGTAAACCATATTGTAGACAAAAATTTAGACCAATAAATATCATTGTATTCATTGATCTCATCATAGATTTTATATAATTCTTTGATTATATTATAATCAAAATATTTAATGTCTTTATTGAACAATATTTTTAATTTGTCGTTAAGTACTTTTAATTTAATTACCAAATAGTACGTGATCAAATAAAAATGGACAAATTGCCAAATCATAATCAGACAAACATAGTCGCCAATAGTTACCCAGATTATTAAATGTGGAATGCCGTATATGATTAAATCCTTGGTAGAACAATTAGTGAACATTGTCCAAAACACGACCAAAACAATTTGAATTTTAAAACAATTTGTGTAATAAATAGCATAAGAAAGTTTTGAACGAAAAACTTCCCTTAACTTCAACACCACATCCCTATCGTTGAGACCAATACTTTTGGGTGCAATCAAACCCGACATCACTTGAAATACACGCAAATCATTGTGTTTTATACCCGACATGTAGTTAGAAAACTGTATTACTTGTGATCCCATACTTTGTAATAACATTAATAAAATGATTAAATTGGTGTGAATTCGGACACCATTTAAATGCCCGAAATCACCCCAAACCACATAAAAGCGTTCATTTTGTTCACCCATTGTTATCATACATACGGAACGAATTGATTGTATTAACGATACAATGAATATAAGTATTGGTTTCCGAAAAGGATTTCTATAAACCAAACGTGGATTATATGGCAATAAACCAGTTTTATAGAGATGAGTGTCGGCCCCCTCTATAACCAAACTGACGGGTAGTGTTTGGTCTAATTTAAGTTTACCATATGGTTTGATTTTAGTATTCATTTTTATTAATGAATGTCAATTTACAAAGAATTTGTAACGAGTTTAGTAATAACACTTTTGATTATTATTATAAGACATAAAAAAATATTAGCATGGTTATTTATTAAATATCATATTGTGTAAATTACACCAATATGCAATTAAATTTATAAATGCTGTATGTCTTTAACTAATATAAATTTTATTTGTTATGCTAAAAATATAGTACATTCACAATGACCTACATTATTTTGTATCATTAAGATACAATAATTACATTTGTGTATCATTTGACTAATAAGATAATTATATATTTAATTGTTTATAACTCAATATTAGCAATATTCAGTGCAATTTTCCTAATAATACATAATATATGAGAATAATGTATGACTAAATTAATAATTGAATGCATTTAACTTAATAAAATTATTTTTTATTGGCACTTTCTCAAATACAATACAAATAAAAGAATGCAATGTTATAATATTAAAGCACTACAGATATGTTGAATTACATTAATTTAAACAACGGATTCACTGAATTAATTTGCATTAGATTAGTTGTTCATGATACTTTAAAAATTTTAATTGAAACTCGTCCAAACTAAAATTATAATAACGTACACTCTTAAGTCAAAAGTACTAATAATTAACCAAAAAACTGCTTATGCTTTGCGAATAATTAATCATAGATGGGTAATTAAACGTTGCAAATACATGGGTAATTTTAAATGCTTACATGTGAGTAAATATGAATAGACATAGATAGATAATTATATGTAAAAAG